AACTTTTCAGAATGTTCATTATTACTGCTAGTTGGTATTTCAAATAGCCGATTAATTTTATTTGCTTGTATAACTCGCAAAATTTAGTGCAACCCAAATTTGCTTCAAACTAGCTGAATAAAAAAAAGACTTGGTAAACAAGATAAATATTAATTATACTGGTAACAGTAAATATTAACTTTTCTCACGACCCCCGCAAATTCCCGAAGAGTGATGTCTCTGTGTAACTTTGGTCGACATCTTTTTTCTCGTTACTCTTTCATCAGAGATATTTTCCACTTTGTATTTGCATTTATTTTCATAGATTTTTTTTTTTATTTATTTCATTTCGTTCAAATATTTACTTACTTGACTGATTTTTCTCTTGGCTTCCCAGCACAGAGTTATTTTTTTCTCATCTTGACACTTCGCTAAGTTTTCATTTTCGTATTTGAAGTGTTGCTATTTTTTTTTTTTATTCCTATCAATTTTGAGACGTAGCATTTCTGGCGCTGAAAATATCCGTTGTGTATAACGCGTGTTCATCTATACAAATCTATCTATCTATCTATCTATCTATCTATCTATCTATCTATCTATCACCGTCTTTCCCCCCTCTCTCTATCCCTCTCTCCCTCTCTCTCTCCCTCCCTCTCTCTCTCCCTCCCTCTCTCTCTCTCGATATATATATATATATATATATATATATATATATATGTTTTAAGTCATTTTATGTTTATACATTCTTTTTATAGATACAAATATTTATGTAAATGCTCTGTTCATAATAAACAGTATGAAACAACATTTACCGGCCTGAATGTCCGAGAAATTTTCACAGAGAATAAACATAAAATGTCTTAAAATAATTGTCGGTCCATTTCATAATATATATATATATATATATATATATATATATTTTGCATATATATCTGTGTGTGCATATATATATATATATATATATATATATATATATATATATATATATATATATACACAAACAAACAAACAGACACACACACACGTGTGTGTGCGTGCGTGTGTGTGCGTGTGTGTTTGTGTGTGAAAATGGTGAAATATCTTGCGCATTTCGACAACTTCTAAGATTATGTGTTTCATGCTGCTTGTTAATGAATGCAAGCATTTAGGTATTATAATATTTATTTCCAAGTATAATTGTATATTTGCAACATCCTAAAAACTAATACAATTACAACTAATGAGATATCTGTTGAAAACATATCTGATTCATAAATTTATAAACATTTACTGAATTATTAAATGCAACAATAAGGAATTACTTATTATTCATCATTTTACAAAGTTCGAATCACTTGGCTGATGTTTTGCCATCCATATCAACAAAATAAATTTTGTAAATGAAAAATCGAATAAATAAATATTATTTATTTTTGTCAATCCTCAATTGTTTAAATTCAATTTTATAAGTTTAAGTTTTATTAAAAAAATTTGAAAACAATTGTCCAGGGAGTGAAGGTAGTCAAAATAATAACTGCGTTTTATTAGCCAATAATGTCCAAGTTTGCCATAATATGAGTCGTGGATGGACTGTAATGGCGATATCTATTTCATTGTTTGTCAAAACATTATACCTGAGGTGTGATTAAAAACAACACATATCATATCTTCATTTAATCTCCCTCAAAATAATCCTATTCTGAATTCACAGACTTTATCCATTTTCGATTCCATTGATGAAAGTATTCCTAAAACAGTTTGCGATAGTGAGCATCTGCCTCGTCTCATTCTCTTAGATTTCTTCGACATCTTAAAATCGTATTTCTTTCAAGTGCGATTTGATATTTAAATAGGGAAAAGTCATACGGGGCGAAATCTGGTGAATATCTTGCTTGTCTGAAGACATAGATTTAGGTCAATCTTTGCCAAACTTTGTAATTTGCTATAGCAATAGTCCCGATACACTTTTCACACCCTGTGTATCTATTTATCTATAACACACACACACACACACACACACACACACACACACACACACACACACACACATATATATATATATATATATATATATATATATATATATATATATATTATTATCCCTTACCGGTAGCACGAGTCGGAGTTTCATGCAATCTTCAGGCGCTGAGCATGGAATGACCGTTATGTAATTTGAATTAAAAAAAAAATCTGTTTATCACAATGTTTGTGCAGTTATATATTATACTGGCATTACAGTTTTCTAATTGAAATATTATATTCGGTATCTGATTAAACGCGATTTGTATATATATGTAAAAAAATTATTTCAGAGTTGTGAATATTTTTTTTTTAAATATATATTAAATGGAGACTACTTGTTCTTTTTTCAGAACAAAAATCAAGCCTTACTTTATATTAAAAATAAATTGTAATTTACATTAAAAATTTATCTGGATGAACATATTTAAACAGATATTCATTTTTATGTCATAATATAACCATCAATTCATTTCTCTTGTTTAATAAGCTCCGGGTATTTAAGAGATTTTTCAGCAAGACATAAGTGACATCTATTTCGTTTCCCGGTATAAAATTTGTCTCTTGCCATAGTATCCCAGGTGGTAAAAAGTGAATTACCAATTTCATTTAATTGCTAGGAATATTTAGAAAAAGCAGTGTTTTTTTTTTTTTTTTTTTTTTGTGTGTGTGTGTGTGTGTGTGTGTGTTATATTACCTATAGTCATTCGATGATGATTCAAACCAATTTTCAAGGATTTTCAGTGGGGAAAAAAAAAATTAACATCGTTACCGGAATGTATACCCGCAGGGTATACAATATCATCAGCCATGCATTGATCGTTAAGGGAGAGATCATGTTTTTATGCAGTGCATGTATTTGTAGAAAAAATACGCTGACTTTGTTGGAAATATATTTGATTAATATAATGTTGTTTTGTTGGGATATAAATTTTTCTCTATTCACAAGGCACCTATAGTTGATCTTAACATTATTTTTGTTAAAAATACTTTTTAGAGATGGTGAATGGTTAAAGCGCCTATGAATTATATTCAGGAATATTCTTCCGATATTATTTTGAACCACATCATATTACGATTACGGTGTTTCTGTTTTTTCCTTCTTTGTTTTTTGTAAATACCATAAATTTACTTTATTATTACTTAGTTTAAGTATTCTCATTTTGTAAAAAAAATATTTGCTATGTAAATTCAACATTAAAGCCTTTATTTAATCTTATTATTATCAAATATTTCCTTATTGCTGTAGTTGGGAGATAATCTAACTTGGACTGATTTTTATAAATTATGTAGAAGTTTTTGGTGGTGGATTAATTCTAGTTTGAGGTCATCTCTATTCTCCGACCTTCCTGATGTTATCATTTCCCAAACTGGCTATCTATCCTCATGTCACAGTTATTTATCCTGCCTTAATAATAAGTTTGATAAATTCAATAAAATCAATTTGGCAGCTGATCTTAAAAATGACGTTCGATCTGTTGTTAACTGGGGCAACAAATGGTTTGTTATATTTAAAGCCTCCAAAACAAACCTGCTAACTATCAATCATCTTAAAGAAACATTTTCTTTCATCAGAATGGCCGAGGCTAAACACCAAGAGAGAAACTCATTAAGCTTTCTAGGTCTCACGTTTCCCACTGACTTGAAGTAGAATGATTATATTGAATAAAGTGTTAATTCTTCTGCTAGTTAGGTCGGTCCATGATGTCGTGCTCGACAATCTTTAGTATCAGTATCTCTCCTGAAAATGTATAAGTCGACCTTTTATCATCATGTGCTTCTGTTTTATACCTAGATAATATTGACAAAATTCAAATAATAATCTGCAATGTTATCGGTGCTGGTCTGGCAACTTGGCTTCAGTTACTTTCCAATCGCCGTAACGTATGTTCTCTATGCATTGTTTTTTAATAAATATTTTCCCGGTAATTGGTGTGACGAGCTTTCCTCATTAGTACCTCGATTTCCTGCTTTAATATAATTACGATCTTTCTAAAATGTGACCTTTAACACATTGCATTATTCATTACTTTCATTTGCATTGCATTGTTTTTCAAGGATCCTCTACTGCACTATTCATAGTCATTTCCACTTGCCATAGCAGGATATGACAACACAACTGCAAAATTTAAACACGCTATCATTCATATTATTTTAAAGTTAAAACTTGCGGCTACAAATTAAAAAAAAATATTCTCTAGAATTCCGTAGTAAATAGCGTGCTGGACGAGACCACTACAAACTGCTACAACCCCCCCAAATATAATCTAAAACCTTGAGTTATGTTCTGAAATAGCCTCGTCAGACATTCATATGGATGTCATAAATAGCGCCAAATTCGTACAGTGTCAGCTGTATGCACTCAGATCAATGAGCATAAATGGTTTCGAGCGAATAAAATCTCTAGGTTGTATTGAGGACCATCCTTCTTCGATCCTTAGAGAATATGGTACTATAGAATCACAAATAATTGTATCAAATAATAGAAACCAAATTGCTGGAATACTTTCAGCCAAAACTAAAACTGATAGCACGTAATTCGAAAAGAAAATAAGGGAATTCCAAAATGATTCGTGCAAAATATTAGAGAGGAAGCCGGAAATATCAACAGCAGTTAACTTACTTCGGAAACCTAAATAATAATGATAATAATAATAATAATAATAATAATAATAATAATAATAATGATAATAACAATAATACATATAATAATTGTTTTTAATAGAAAAGTTTTATTAATTTCTATGTAACTACTGGATAAAAAAAAAAAAAAAAAAATTAACACTAGCTGATGATGATAATAATAATAATAATAATTGTTTTAATAGAAAAGTTTTATTAATTTCAACTACTGATAACACTAGCTGCTCAGTCAACGAATACTGTATGTATACATATCAAACAATGGCTAATATTACAATCATCATGGCCATTATAAAAAAAACTGTGTAATAACTGTCCTGAGTACATTATTAAAATTTCAGTAGTTTATTCCATAATCAAGCGCGAATATAGATATGAAATCAAAGAAATATTTTATCGAGATAGATAGATATATAGATAGATAGATAGATAGATAGATAGATTGATAAGTAAAAAGCTAAATAGTTACATTCATTGAATATCCTCACAAAGCATAGATACCGGCCTTGATAAGTAGCAAGAAAGAAAGAAAGATAACTGGATTAATCAGACAAATAAATATAAGATATTCTATTTTACAAGCTAAACAGACAAATTCATAGAGTTTACACTCCACGCGCAAATGATGTACGTAGATAGACAGACACATAGATAGATAGATAGATAGATAGATAGATAGATAGATAGATAGATAGATATGAACAAATTGAGATAGATAGATAGATAGATAGATAGATAGACAGCGCAAAATCCGTTATTTTGCACTTAAGTATACAATTAGTGAATACGTCAAATTTATACTTAAAAATAATCTGTAAAAATAGTTGTTCAGCTTTTCCTTTTTTTATTTCATTTTATTGCCGAATGTTTTTTTTTCCTCTCGCTGGAAATGTGAATTGAAGAAATCGAAAATGTACTAATAATAAGGTGATAGTCATTCTTCATAAACGGACAGAAACTTATATTCAATTCAATCATTTAGATTCAGCTCTTTTATATGGACTTGCCTTTCGTGACAGTTAAAGTGGGAAACGCGCGTTTTTGTCGAAAACATTTTCCTGAATAACGTACGGGGAATAATTTCGCCATTTTTCATTGGATTTGTTAGAAACAGTTGACATTCATAGAAGATAACAAAACAAAAAATAGATTTGCTCTCTTTCTCTTCCTAGCCACATCTCTTCTGCAAGTTTTGGGAGCCTGACTCAGATTATTGCCTTATTGAATCTTTAACATTATATCTATCTATCTATCTATCTATCTATCTATCTATCTATCTTTTCTGTATATACATGCATATATTGCAGTGTACATTTGCGAAAATGTTTAATGCATTTGTATGTCTCTATGTAGATCTGCTTTAGTACGAAATTCTTCTTTATTATTTAAACTGAACACGACACATTTTTTAAATGTTGTAATATAAAAATAATTGTCTCTTTTTTAAATCTTTCATTACGTTAATATTAGTCATATATATCGATGCATTTAAAAATACTTAAGGTATTACATTGATAACATTTATAACAAGCTGATGTGATTCATAATAATTTTATTTGTCTTTTTCCTTTCAATTCATTAAATATTACAATGGCATACTAAAACGCAAAAATTCATAATTCATATTTATTATAGTGATCTCTCATAATTTCAATTTCTGGGGAATATGTTTTTATTAAGAGAACTTAAAATCATTTTTTAACTTAAATTATTTGGTCTATTTTATGTGTATTCGAAAAAGTTAATATCATTCTATGAAAATTTATTTTATTGTCTAAACACAGGAACGCAGGACTTATTTTGAAACATGTTCATCCTTTGGTAGCCATTTTGAACAAATTTTCAAACATGGCGCTGAATAACGAATAGAATGAGTGAACGAATAGAATCTCAAATTCTTATGTTTTAAGAATTAAATAAAAGATAAGCTGACAAATTACAACAAAAAAGAACGTCTGTCTATTTTAAAAGTATATACAGCATTTTCGGCCATTTTAAAAAAATGCGCCGATAATTACGCAACGAATATTAGTTCTGATATCATTTGTATTGTTCTTTCGTATATCTTTGCGTTTCTTGTTTCAGAGTCTTTAACGAAACTGTAATGTCCTTGCCATATAGCTGGACATATTCAACGAGGTTACCCGGATGATAAATCCTGCTAAAGAGTGAAAGTATATAAATTTCAAACAATTCTCTCACTCTCTCTCAAAAGATGAAGAAATATAGTTTTAAGATATGCTATATTTATGGGATAAAGTGCTCAATATCAGAGATAGAGCGTATGTAAATAGTAATATAAAAGTGAACCTAAGGATTGCGGCCTCTGGGTATTGACTCCAATATTCACTGTTATATATATATATATATATATATATATATATATATATAGTTTATGTAAAAATAGGTAATCCGTATGGGTAGACCCAAGGAGGATGATATCCGGAGAGCTCAATCTAAATTCAGAGCAAATATGTTTGAATAAAAACAGACCACTTTAAGGTTCCATATGATAAATTATTTCGCCACGGCCCTTTTAAAGGGGTTTGGATCATCAGACTTTACTTCCAAAGGTTGAAATGAAAATGCTTCATACGGCCCGTCAAAAATGTGTAAATTTTTTTTAATTTTTCATTTTAACCTTTGGAATTAAAGTCCGATGATCCAGAGCCCTTTAAAAGGGCTGTGGTGAAATAATTTATTACGTGAACCTTAAAATGGTCTGTTTTTATTCAAATATATATATATATATATATATATATATATATATATATATATATATATATATATCGATTTAAAGAAAATGAATTTCTTTTGTATGACCATTTTTTTTTTTTTTTTTTTTTGGACCTAGGTACCTTTCGGCCAACGCTTCATCAGGGTCTTTCGTTGGCAAATGATTTTAAACAAACAATGAAAATGAGAAGAACGCTAAAATGGTATGGTTGGAACACGTCTAAAATCTTACGAAGATATATATACGTAAAATTAAAATAAATTTACGATTAAAATAAATGCGTAAATAATGAATTAATAATAATGAACCAACCTGAGCAGTAAGATAGGAAAATAAGTTGCTCATATATCAAAAAATAAATTTAGCGATCGTGAAAAATTCTCCTTTTGTTTAGAAAGCGATGGTTTAAATAATTTGAGGTAGATGGCTTCCAAAATAGACAGATGATATTTGGACCTGCCTACGCATAAAATTGAAAACGAGTCCATTGTAAAACGTTTTGAGCATGACTCATTTTCTAATAGGTGTTGCCCAATCGCCGAATCGTGAGCTGATTGCGAAACACGAATGCGAGTATCTAAATTTAATCTAATGTGTCTGGGTACATGTTGTCCGATTCTTGTTTCCAAACGAAGACATGTTCGCCCTATATATTCAGCTTCGCACTGACATTTAAATCTATATATAATCGAACTTTTATTGTGATAGGGAAAACGATCCTTGGAAAAAGACGGAAAAACAGTACGAATACTGAAGACAACACGTACTTTGGATGAAAAGAAGGTAGCAGAAACAACATTTGAAACTTTATCAGTCAAAAGTTTACATTTTCCGCCTAGCCAAGGTAATTTCAGATAAATAGGGCAAAGACCTGGGCTAAATTTTGGGGGCATATTGAAATTCTCTATTTTCCGCTTTATTGTGCGGTCAACAATGTTGGCTGGAAAACCATTGTTGATGAGAATGTCTCGAATTTTGTTCAACTCTTGTTGAAATGTGCTAGAGGAACAAATTAATAAAGCCCTATGAACTAAGGTCTTAACCAGATTTATTTTTCTGGTATGGGGGACAAATGAGTTCCAATTAGTGTAAAGACCTGAAAAGGTTTCTTTACGAAACACACTAGTGATGAAAATAGTATTCTTTCGTTCCACATGAACATCTAAAAATGATATAGAATTATTCATTTCTTCTTCCATAGTAAAGACCAAAGGAATTTAACGCTTCACAAAAGAGAGTGGCTTCCTCTATGTTATTAAATAGAGAAAAAGTATCATCAACATAACGTTGATAGATGTAAGGTTTTTGATATTTCTCAAATAAAATGCTCTCATGATATCCGACAAAGATATTGGCCAAAAAGGGACCTAAAGGACTACCCATAGAAACGCCATCTACTTGGGAGTACATAATATTTTCAAAGCTAAACTCTATTCCTTCTGTTACTAATGTTAGGAACTCTAAGAATAAGGGCTCAGGAATAGAGGGAGGACTTAGGAAACTTCTATAGAGCATATCAGCACATATCTGTGCTGTTTCTTTGAGGGGGATATTGGTATACAGATTTACAATGTCGAAAGACACCATAATCTTGTGATCAGAAGAAATAGAACAATTTCTAATGAGTTTAGAGAAGGTGAAGGAGTCAGATACACAATAGGTTGAGAAATAATCAGAAATAGGTTTAATTAACTCTGATAACCACTTGGCCAACTCATGCTGTGCTGAACCCACCAGAGATAAAATGGGACGTAACGGCACATTATTTTTGTGAATTTTGGGCAACCTATAAAGTCTGGGTCTTTGGGAACCTACAGGTCTAATCCTGTTGTAGGTATCTTTACATATAAAATTATTTTTATGTACCTCTAATAACCGTTTCTGCAGTTTTATTTCTAGTTTGTCAGTACGGTCATGTGTTGAGGAAGGACCAATCAAGCGAAACTTTGAAGTATCTCCTAGAATGACATTCATTTTATTAACATAGTCACTCTTGTTCATAATGACTACACCAACACCTTTGTCTGGTTTGGTAATGTAGATATCATTACGAGTTTTCAAAGATTTGACAGTTTTATAATGAACGCGATGCCATGCGACCATGTCACGTTCGATTGGTGTGGAAACAAATTCGTGAGCTGTTTCCAAAATCTTTGATTTACAAAATGTAAATTGGTCCGTGGAGGAAGGAACAAGATGAAGCAACTGCGAAAACATAACTTCAAATTCAGCAAAAACTTCTGCTTTGTTTATATTTCGAGGGGGAATACAAAAATCCAAACCTCTAGACAAAACTACCTTTTCTATCTCAGAAAAATTACTATTACACAGGTTAATTATATGCCTGTCCAAAGAATAATTCTCGAAACCAAATCGTTTTCTGATTAAAACGTTAATATAATTATTGTCTTTTGCAAAGGTTCTTTCTTCGAAATTTAATCTGCATTTAGCTAGATATTTCGAAAAACGGAAAAAATAAAAAAACGAAAGATGTCTTTTGATTCTGCTTATAAGAGAACGATATATCATGTGGGTTGAAAGAAATAATTGTGTTAATTTGTCAAGCTCATACTTAATAAAAGCTTGTTCTAATTGGAAACTATAATCAATTTTTACCCTTATTAATCTGTGTTTAATAAAGGAAGGAACAAAACCAAAAGACAAACAAGAAAGGAGAAATCTTTTTTTGGTACGTAATGAACTTAACTTATACCAAAGTCTAATCACATTATTCAAGTCCTCGATGATAATCTTGTGGTATCTACATTTTAAATATGGGAATAATGTTTTGATACCACAAAACAAATATAACGATTTAAAGAAAATGAATTTCTTTTGTATGACCATTTTTTTTTTTTTTTTTTTTTTGCAGGACCTAGGTACCTTTCGGCCAACGCTTCATCAGGGTCTTTCGTTGGCAAATGATTTTAAACAAACAATGAAAATGAGAAGAACGCTAAAATGGTATGGTTGGAACACGTCTAAAAATCTTACGAAGATATATATACGTAAAATTAAAATTTTAAA